AAGAATGATCTGATTCATCATATTGAAAATCCATATAATCATCCTGAATATTTGTATTTATATCTGTTGATTGTAAAACTTGAATATTAGAGTGTTCAGAAACTAAATCATCTTGTGGTTTATTGTATGTAAATCTATTACGAAATTGAAATTTTTTTATAGAAGCTGCAGTATGTGTATATCGATTTCGTATGATTAAACTTTTATAATAGTTATAAAATAAATTGTTGCTTTTATTTGATTTATTAAAAAAAATTGTAACTATTTCTATATAATTATCCAAATGATTGTTATTTTAATTTTAGAATTTGTTAAAAAAATACCTTGTATAAATCGATCGTAAACACTCATTAAGCAAAATAAAATTTTTTTTTTTAGTATAAAATATCAAAAGAGAAATGTTTTTAAATAATTTTTAATTACTCATTGCTTTGTTTATGAAAAAAAGAAAAAATAAAGAAAATGAAATTTATATATTTGACTAAAATTAAATTATTTAAAGGTCCAAAAATTTTTTTTTGTCCAATTATGGACCGTGTAACTATGGCGCATATGAATTTCCTTAAATTTCCTTTCGTTAAACATTCATTTTTCTCTCCGACAATTATTTTTTTTAAAAAAATGTCTCGCCTCCCTGCCAATTGTTTAATTGAAATTTTTGAAAATTTAAATGATAATGGATTAAGTTCATGATTATTAGTGAACCATCAATGGTGTGAAGCATCTGTTCAAATTTTATGGAGAAAAATACAAAGTTTAAATACCTTAATCACTTGTCTTCCTTATGAATCAAAAGTCATTTTAAAGAATAATTTCAAACTCAACTTCAAGATCCCTATCTTTCAATTATGTAACATTTATCAAATACTTTCGGATATCGATATTAGTAATACAGTTGAAAGATTGCTTAAATATACACGAAAAGGTAACGAAAATAGAAGGAACGTGGCAACACGAGAAGTATTTCAAATGCTCATGAAACAAACTTCCTTGAAAGAGCTAACTATTTATTCTGGCACAATCCAAGAACCAAGTTTACCATTTACCGATAGCTTAAATTTGAGTAACCTTTCTAAATTGTATTGTAGTTCAGATACCTATCTTGAATTGTTTCATCAGCTATCTCTAATTTGTCATAATCTACAATCACTGGGGATATTTTTTAAAAGTAGCGTCTTAGATGGATTAACAGATTTAATGTCAGTTCAAAGACGTTTAAAGTACCAGTACGTAAATATTCGGAAAGATTTGGACAGATATTAGTCAACCATTCACAAAATGTCCAATACATTAACCAAGGTGCATATTGTCGGGGATAGGCAACGATGTCCTTTACCATTATCATTTATTTCAAAGCTCTACAATTTACAAGAACTTTCATTATCATTATACAACCGTAAAGGTTTGGAAGTTTTTCAACATGCTTTCCTTCCCCAATTGCAAGTTTTAAAATTTCAATGTCAACAACCAGTTAATGAACACCTAAACAGTTTCTTGGAAAACAGCGGAAAGAATTTAACAATACTTGGTCTTAGCGAACTTTATTATTTTTTTTTAAAATTATGATGATTCATTAAATTTAACAATTGCCAAATTTTGTCCAAATCTGAAGTGCTTGCGTACTACTTTTCCAGGTGGAAACATAGAATCGTTAAAAATTGATTTTAAATAGTTGTGAACAATTAGAAAGCATTGAGATTTGTGCGAAGACTTTTTAGAGGAGAGGGCATTATTGGAGATCGTTGTGGAATTTTCACCTAAAAAATTTTATTAGATAAAAGTAGTTTTAAATGCTTACGAAGATCCTGAACATTTATATGTCAAATAAAGTCTATCTTTAAATTCTGGACGAATCGTGAGCCAAGTATTCCTTTCTCTTTAATAATTTTAACGAATTCTGAAATGATATCGACATATGAAACGCAGGATAGAAATATCGAAATAGTTAAAAAACTTGAAGAGCATAAAAATTTGAGCGTTATTAAAGAATTCGAAGTTATTGAAAGACCGTGGTTGGTGGTATGATCGATATATATTTTTTTTACAATAAAAAATTAAAAAAAGTGATTGAATGTATTTTTTTGTAAATTAAGCTTTGTTAATTATTAAAATCATTTAGATTGGCTAGATCTCGAAATGTTACATTGGAGGAGGAAATAAAATCATCAACTTATGCCAGTAATAAAGGTTGGATTTGATTTAATCAATAAATAAAAATCAATCAATCATAATTCTTATGAGGTTTGATAAAATTGATGGAGTTAAGTTCAAAAAACGCGCGTAAAATTATATTAAATAGGAAAGTCCGCTATGCTGGTGGCTGGAGTTTATTATGTTATATCTATAATAAAAAACATTTAATTTCGATAACTCACTATTTTTGTAAAATTTTCAGATTTTTATTCCGGAATTATTCAAATTGCTGTTTTTGTTAGGATGAGACTAATAACAAAATAAGACATACATATTTTAATTTAACTTTACTAAAAATAAAACAAGTTATTCCAAGAAATCTAACCTTTTATTTCCTAGTTTTTGATTCCTTAAGCAATTTCATCACGATAAAATTTAGATTTGAATAGAAAGGGAAACTACTAGGAAAATAATAAATGAATAATGAACATATTTCGGCTTAACAATCATATTTGATACACATATAAAAGTAAAATTGTTTTTTTCTCGGTAGATACCCAGACTGCAATAATACGTTCCGGAAGAATCGATTATTTATTAAGTAGCCATTGTTCAAGTCATAGAGGAATAATAAGTTCAAATAAACTTGACTTTATACCTTTAAATTAAAACAAAAGACATGAAAAATTAAGAGAAAGACCCATTATTTATACATTTTTTCATGTTGAAAATCGATATATACAATTTTTTTTTGGTTTCCTTTTTAATTTTCAGATTTTACGTTTCGGATCGCAGCGATCGAATATGTTTTTTCTTTTTCTCTAATATAAAAGTTATATTTTTTTAAAGTTTAACCATAACAATATCAAACACAACTCTTATGCGGGATCAGCATGTTCTAGCAATATAGAAGATAGTACTAGACGAAACATTGACGATTTTAAAATTTATTATAGATTTATATATAGATTATAAAAAAAGAAAGGTTTAATTATTTAAATGATTTAAGTGTATTTATTAATTACAACAGACATTAACATAAATAAGAATTGCCTCAATCGTCGGATCAGATTTAATATTTTGTTATACTATCTATTTGTGATATCTAGGGAACATATTATTCTACTCAAGTGAACTCCCATCTCAGTAAGGACTAATTGTCCAGGAACATTTTTGTCCAGAAACATAATGGCCGGATGGCATATTGGCCAGGTCATGATTTGGGCCTACGATCTTCAATAAAAGTCTAACTAAAACTAGACAAAATTGGACACAATGCCCCGGAACTAATAGAACATTATTGGTAATTAATATCTATAATGATAGTTTCGTACGGTTACATATGACAATTACGTGCTATTATTTTAGATATTTTCATATATATTGATTAAAGGTTATATTACAAGATAAACAATTTATCATATTGATTATACTAAAATTAATACTACATTTTACATTTTATTGATTCCTATTAAAAGTATATTTTTTGTAAGCATGTTTAATAGTCTTCATCCAATTGTATATTTATGGTATGCGAGTTTCTTCTGAATTGAGTGGCGTGTTGGTATTGCTAATAATGTATTGTATTAAATAATATGATTATTTTTGATATGCCGATTTTTTAAATTTATAAATAAACTTTTATATTTGCCTGGTAATTTTACAAATTTTATCTTTTTCAAATTAATAATAATAATGTACATTAAAATTAATACAAATTTTAATAAGTTATTTATTAACTTTCTTTGAGGCGGCTTTAAGTGGTTAAATTTAAGTTTAAATTTAAATAATTGATTTATTTAATTAAACCTAAGCTTTTGTTATGATCAGGTCGAACGATAATTATTATTATCGCACGGTCCTATAGGATCATGCTGAGTTTATTTGACCTATATTTTTTTTATAATAGAATTAATTTGTATATATCATACAAAATTGAAAATTAGTAGCTTATTTGTGTTTAATATTGAAATCAATAGTTAATAATCGTATATCATTAAAAATAATTTATTTTCTATCTTAATTTCATATTATCGTTTCCAAAATACTCATGTTTAATAAAATATGCTAAAAAGCTAGTATTCATAGTAATTTTAAAGATTTATCATTTGTATTGATTTGTTGCAACCTTTTACGTAAAGTAATTAACTTTTTGTAGTGATTAACTTATTGAATAATTCACTATAAATAAATCAATATTTAAATAAAATTTTCAAAAAGTATAAGGAATTACGTTTTATAAGTTGAGAATTGACAACTAGAATAAAGCAAACATCATTTATTAAAGGATAATTATAAATATCTTCAATCGTTCTTTATATTAACTTACCGCCGCGGAAGAATTTTTTAAACTGAAATTTGCTCGATGAAGTATTCATTTTATATACTTAAAAGTCATTTTGAAATAATGCCTATTAATTTTTCACGCGAAATTTGTTTGAATAATAACAAGAAATTAAGGAAAAAAATAAAGGTAGCTCAGGTTGAAATTGACTGTAAAAAAGGTAGTTGCGCATCCAACAACAAATTTTGTACCAAATATTTTGGTATGATTCATTTGATAAACCGGAGAGTTAGTCATATGCTGGCTGAAAGTTTAGGCGGATATCTGTTGAGGATAAAATTACGAAATAATTGTATACTTTTCAAGAGAAAGTTTTATCATTATTATACTAATAGATCTGCCGAACCATACTAACTAGAAAAAATCTCAGAGCTTTTAAGCATGATCTGCTTTAGCCGTACGATAATATAGATATTATTGTTGCTTTTCCACTACCGTACAAGTTCTCATTCTGTGAATTTATTGTGTGTATCTCAATTTTGTTACAATTTTAGAATTACATGTGCTGTAAAATCAGGATTGTTTGTTTTACTGCAAATTTCCGATACATCATTCGACGAGGTCTAGCATTTACACTATGTATACCGGTTTTCTTCACTTAACTTATTTATTCAAATATTAAATCTTCGCACGCGTTTAAAATAACTTCAGAAGTGATCCTTTTAACAAATAGTTCCATTTAAAATTATCGAATTGATCCTTCTCGTCTTGACCGGACCGGTTACTTTAAAATTTTCTTATCTAGTAATTTCTAAGTAGAAGGTACTTTAATTTTATGGAACTAGCACTGGAAATAATTGAACCGCGAATTATGTTCGAAAAAATTTCATTTTAACTTGTGAGATTATTAAAAATAAAAAGAAAAAACCGACTAACACATATCAGTTGTTCTAATATATAAAAAAATTAAAAATTAATAAAAATTGCAATTAATTCACACCACTCAAAGATATTTGATTTGATTATTATTTTTTTAAAGATTCTGATCATGAATTTAATTGGCCTTTTATAAGCATGAAATTTCTGCTTCATATATTTGAAATTTATATTCATAATTTATTTATTTTTATTTATTTTTTTTAGGAGGGAAACTTTAATGTGTGCATAATATATTCTAATTAAAGTCATTCATTATATTTAAAAAGAAATAACTATACCCATGATTTTTACAATTGTATAGTAAAAAGATTTACTTAACTGCATAAGTTATATAATTAATTAGGGAATTAACGTTTGGATCCTCAGAGAAACATACTCAATTTTTGGTAAATATTTGAATACTTAACTAAAAATTAGCAGAACACTTGTACTCTATAATTTCTGCAGTAAGCATTACTCAAACATAATTGCAATAGAATCATAATTTTAAATATTAATAAATAATAATGGACACATTTTCTATTTCCATTGCTAGCCCAATGGCCAATGTGTTTATATAAAAAATTGTCAAATAACTTGAGTATGAACATTATCGTTATAATGAATTAAATGTTGTAAGTTACTTAAATGAAAGGTAATTTTAAAAGGTGATTTTAAAATCAAAAATTTTGAACGAGAAAACAATTGTGATAATAATTTTTATTTACAAGAAATTGATGAAGAATTTGGTTAGTATTTAATAATGATTATTATTTAATATCCTATTTAAACTAATCCATTATTAGTATTACAATCAGGAATATGGTTTAAAAAAAACATATCAGATATAAAAGATTAAATTCTTTTATGTATCAAATTGCAAAATTATCTGGAGTTAATATAACAGTACGAAAAATATCAAATCATTCTAAAAGAAAGATGCTAATATAAGGATTATAATGATTAGGTATTAGTAAGAAAGATATTGCATTACAATCATGATATAAATCACTTGAGATAATTAATGCATATATATTACATCCTGAACAACAATATCATGATATGTTGAATGAATTTGCAAAAAAATTTCATTTTAAGGATCAATCTAAATCCTATGGTTTTTATATTTTAAATATATATTTATTTTTTAAAAAAAAAAAAATAATATTTTAATTTTTAATAGATTCCAATTCTGATGTAATAACAAGTATGGATTTAAATAATATTTT